AAAGTGTTACAGCTCTGCTTCACTTCACTGGGCTCTGCTCTGGCAAAAGTTGTTACACCTGGACTCCACTCCAGCAAGTGTCACACCACACAACAAACATCACTCAAGAAATTGATTGGGAAGGAAGAATCCAGGAGGATGGATGCCTCTCGGGTGAGAAGCGGCAACAAACTGAACAGGACACAGAGCTTATATAGGTTTTCTTGAGGGGAGGGAGCTTTCCAGGGTGGCTTGGGATTGGTGGATTTTTGTGGTCCAATTCTGGGGCAAGCTCAGGGGACCTCAAGGATTGGTGGGACATTGTGCTCAGGGATTGGTGGGATTCTGTAGCCTACCCTGGGACAAGCTCAGGGATTGGTGTGATTTCAAGCCTGGATCAAGTCAGGGTCAGGGTGTTTTTCCTTGGCCCTTTTCACCCTACTTGTTGTGTAGCTTTCTTGCAGTAGTGAGGGCTGAGGGAGTCTCAGAGTTCTTTAGTCACCATTTCCCAGTTGTTGTCACCAACATAGAAAGAATTCAGAGACAGAAGAAGCTGAGAGGAAGGAAGTTTTATTACATAGTAAAAGTTCAGAATCATAGGGCAAAAGCGAGCTGTGGAGAGAGGGAGAGGGAGGCTGGGAATTTGTGTAGCTCTGCACATGGCTTTAATAGAGGGAGTAGTCTATTGAGTTAAGTGAATGCTAGTTGAGGTATTCGAGGAGTAGGCTGAGGTTTTTCTCAGGATAGGGTTCACTTCTTCCTCTCCTTCTGTGGGGTATTAGAATGTGTCATGACAGCTTCTGCCTGATGGGGCAGCCAATTCCACAAGGCTGATGATGTAGAGACACCATTATAATGAACACAAGACAGTGGGTCCCTGCTGGTTTGGGGTGTATTGTTTTCTGACGCATGGTGTCCTGTAGCAATACTGTTGGGCTGGTACAGAAGCCTGTAGACACTGCATAGTGTCTACAGGCCGAGAAACTTATTAAAAGTTCAAACTGAGGGCTAGGTGTGGTGGCGCACACCTTTAATCCCAGCACTCTGGGAGGCAGAGGCAGGTGGAGCTCTATGAGTTCAGGGACAGCCTGGTCTAAATAACAAGTTCTGAGGACAGCTCATATAGCTAGGACTACATAAAGAGACCTTGTCTCAAAAACACCAAAAAAAACAAAAACAAAAAGATTCAAGCTGAGATTCAAACCTAGGTGCCCAGCTCCAAGGCCCAAATTGAGTCTGTTTTGCCTGAACCACAGGAAACGGGATTGAGTTAGTGTCACCAAGCAAGCCTCTGTGCTGGAGACAGCACGTATGACAGAGTGGACACCACATATGATGACACAGTGGACAGCTCTCGCTCTTGTGTCTTCCTGCCTCTTGGCCTCTGTTAGCTCCTCATACACACTACCAACTGTACACAGTGCCCTGCTCATACCAGTCTATCACCAGTGTGCATGTAGAGGACAGCTTGTTGGAGTCCTTTCTTCTCTTCCTGAGCTGCGGGCTTAGCATGGTTACCACTGAACCATTTCACTGTCCCAATAGAGGGCCTTGATCAGCATCATGGCAGTCATCCCTTACTTTCCTTGAACACATAGGAATTCCATGCAGCCTCCCATACACATCACCGAGACCTCATTCTGGTTGTGTCCTCAAGTGAGGGTTCCACAAGCATCTCTATGTCTCTATGGAGCCTAAGGATGGGGATTAGAACTGCAGGTGTAGATGGGGTTTGTGATGTGTAGTGAATCTCAGAATGAAGACCACATCTGTTTTTGGCATATTGCTCCTGTTAAGATCCTTCATCCAAGCCTATATAACGCTAGGTACTGTCCTAGGGAGACATGAACATACAAACATCTCCTCACCCTAGACAGTAACAGACCAAAGACCCCACAGAAGTCCAGCTTGGTGAGCCAGTGAGTTTTGTGGGGTTACTTATAGCAGTGTGGATGAGGGGTTACTTATGGGGTCAGAAATGACTCAGACAGCTGTGTCACCAAAGCCAAACCCAGAGTGTGTGGCAGCTCACAGAAGGGAACCTGGAGACAGTGCACAGCCAAAGGCAGGTAACAGGCTGGAGAGTGTCTTCTCAGATGGCTGAGCTGGTCTGAGCCTCTTCCAGGCAGTCTGAGTGTCTGAGCAATCCTTACTGATTTTATATACTTGGGGAGGGAGGGACCTTTTGGATCTGGTCAGCTTCAGGGACTTCCTGAAGCCTTTGAGTTGTTCACTTCCTGAGCTTAGGGAGTTTCCCTGTGAATGGACCTCTGTAGAACTTAGAGTTTTCCTCATGGTGAAGGGTTAATCTTGGAAGGGACTGCTGCCCATCAGTCTGGCTTGGTTAGGCTGTCACCCCGGAGCCACCCTTGACTCTTCCTGAGATGTGCTTGGCAGATGTGCTTGAGCAGCTGACTCTAAAGCTCAGAGGAATGGACACAGCCTTGGCTGATACTCCATCCTGGTGCTGGCTTTCTTGGTTCTGTGAGAGTTTATTCCGAGCATTGTCTTCTGAGTCACACAGCAGTTATGACAAGCGGCTCAGATGGTGTTCCAAAGCTGTCCATTTCCTCACAGGACATCACTTGAAGTGGTTTTGACAAAATCTACAGAACACACTCTGGGGAGTGGGGAGGGGTGGGAGTGGGGTGCTCATCCCGGAGTCCAGGCAGCTTCCGTCCACTTTGCTCTTTGGATTGGTGTCTAGTTCTGCTGGAAATGAGATCATATATTCAACTCTCAGGCTGTGTTAGTGAAAATGAACTCTAATGTGATTAGATACTAATGCAATGTAATGGAGACTCGGCATTAAATTGAGACCTTCTGATCTTATTACTTCACAAACTCGGGTGCTCTCCTGCTCAGCTGCTGCCCTGCCCTGAGCCCCAGGCCAGGCAGAAGCCTAAGTGGAAGAGAAGAGGCCAGGAACCTGCCAGGAACAAGACCTGTGTGCCAAGAGCACTCCCCAGGCAGACCCACTTACGAACTGTGGCAGAGGCGGCAAAGGCAGCAGGTGCCTCAGGCCTGATGCCGGCCTGCCCACAAGCTTAGTGCCCTGTGCTCTGTGAGGCCTGAGAGGTCTCCCATGGAGTCTTACCTTAAATCCAGAGTCTCTGGAACAGTGACAGGTGCCGGCTAGAAAGTCCCCTGCTCTGCCTCCCTCCTTCCCTGTCCTCCTCTCAAACCCAGGGATGGTTACAGGCTCCTGTGTGTCCCTGGTCCTGGGATAAACCTGCTACCCCAACCAGCTTGTAGAACCCCCACAGCCTTGCAGACCTCCCTGCCCACAGAGTGTCTCCCTGCTGGCATGCACCCCAAGAGCTGAGGTCTAGAAAAGCAGGAGTCCCCCACTGGGAAGCAGGGTAGAGAGGCATGCATGGGGGATGGACAGGCGGGTTGTCTCTAAACATGAGTAATAGTGTTTTTACAGAGAAAGTGATTTTTCTTACTCTGTTTTCAAAAACCTGCTTCGGGAGGCAAGCCTTTGTGCACAGGATGGTAATGACTTTTTAATGACCTTAAGAGGACTGGTGTCCGGGCAGCAGAGAATCCGTCTCAGTGGGGGGTGCATAGTGAGAGGGAAGATGGAACACCTGAAACCAAATGGGAAAAACAAACTGCAGATACATGTGTTTCTTTTGCTAGCATTCCTTGGTAATTAGACAATTACTGGAAACACTTCACAGCAGCTGGCTTTTCTTAGGGGGGGGGGGGGTGGGGGGGT